TTGCAGCTGGCAGAGGATAGGAAAAAAAATTATTTAAAAAAATAATACAGTTATTAATAAGATTTGAAATTATTGAATGCACGATTTCACAGATCTCACGCCTTCATAGCCTATAAATATTTCATTCCATCATCGTATTTTATTGATAGCTTTTTATCACAGCTGATTAGCTTTTGAGTGTTAATATCCATATTTTGGTTCTTGTAGCATTATATTGATTGTAATATTTCATATAAATATATATTATTCCTTGTTTTCCTTTAGATTTTACTTGACATATTATAGTTTGACAGATTTTTGCTGTTGCTGCCTATTAAAGGTCAAATGTTCAATGCCATGTCAGAATACATACTGAGAGACAATGAGTTATAATTTTTTTATGTATTAAAAGGCTGCTACTGCTCCAGGGGCACGGTTTATTCAAATAAGGCACAAATTAAAATTTAAAATGCATGATAAGATATACCCCCTTGTGCAAATTAATTGAAACAACCGTTTTATTTTCCTTGCGCCATTTGGTCAGTTTGAGTCCCACTTGAGTGATAGAATTTAATCGATTTCTATTTTTGTCCTCAGATTAGGTTATTTGCAGTGGTGTTCAGTAATATGAATCTATTTTGGAGGTTTATGATGAAATTTACTTGGCCTTGAAAAATATTGCGTCATCCGTGATTACACCATATTTTTTATCACGCCCAGACACTATTGTCTCGACTGTCGATTAGTTGTCCTACGGCCATTGTCTCTGATGGACGTTTCGAAGAATGCATACGAAAATTGTAATACTGCACGAACACACTGACAAGCCTTGCCAGTGAGCATATCAAAGTACTATAGACTGGCTTGGAAATTCACCTGATTTAAATCCAACCGAGAATCTGTGGTCAATCAGCAAGTAACGACTTCGTGGTATGGACGTACGAAGTACTAATATATTCACTAGATCATCTTTTATTGAAAAAAGTAAATAATAATGGTATTATTTGGTTTGTTTCAATTAATTTGCACAAAGGCGTATGTTTGTCATTTTTATATTTTTCAAATACAGTGTAATATAGGCAAGCGGATAGAAAATAAGTTGTAGAATAAAATATATTTCATGCAAGCGTTATTAAAGTATTTTAGGCAATGTGCTAACCGTATTCGGAAATAATATTGCACATAATGCACGCACTCAATTAAGCTGAAAAATCGAATCATCCTTGATAATAGCTAAAGGTATAGCCGAAAGCGCTCGGAACTATAAAACATTTGGACAGTTTTTACACACTCTTTGTCCAGAAAAAAAAAGCTCTTGTTCGAACAAATGAAGAATTAAATAAAAAGCTTAACCCTAGTATCTTGTCTGTCGTTTTTAATGAAACATGGATATATATATATATATATATATATATATATATATATATATATATATATATATATATCCAGTTGTAATGAGAATAATGTAAATTCTATACGTTAAACCATTAATTCAAAAAGGGCTCAATAGAAAGAGTAGAGTAATAATTATTTATTATAGATTTTTACATGTGGGCAAAAACAATTACCCACTACAAAGATGTATTCTTGTTTCGATGCCTTATTTGCATCTCGACTGGTGGGAACTAAAAATAGTTATGGATAATTCTACTCAAAAACAAGCCGACAATGGTACGTCACTTCCTTAAAAAATCTAGGGAGATACAACTTAAGAGGAAACAGTAGAGGGTAAATTAGAGAGAAAAGAATGGAAAGAAGAGGAGGATATAAAATAAGATAATAGTGGTTTTGTTAGTGGAAGATCCCGCTAAATTTTTTGATAGTATACAATGGTCAGATAATTAGTGTTTTTGATGTAATATCCTAAAACAAAGAATAGTGCTCTACTTTTGCATTCATCCCTCTTATAAATTGAATGTGACGAACGTCTGAATTGAACTCTATTCATTCTCATTTTACATATATATATATATATATATCCCAATTTCTTTTTGAATTTCTAGATCTGAGGAATTGGATCGTGATTACGATTCCAATGTAATAAATTATAATCATTTATATATATAATTATTTATTTAAAAATATGATTCCATCGCTACATAAGAATCATGGAATCATATTTTTAAATAAATAATTATATTTATGCTCTACTTTTGTATCGAGCACTATTTTTAAAAAAATAACAAAAAATACTAAAAGAATTTTGGATTATTTACCTAACGAGTTCTTTCCTATTTTCTATATATTTTTTTACACACACATATATATACATTGACCACTAATATTATTTATATATATATATATATATATATATATATATAATAATTCATAATGTCTAAACCTACAAACCCCAACAGAATGCAGAAAAGTACTGGACGGCCGTTTGGTCCTGTTTTGCGACTCATCAGCATTGCGCATCCACTACCCAGAATCGAACCCAAATCCTTACGATTCAAAGCAAACATTTTACCGGGTGGTCTCGGTGACGAATAGGAAAGTAAGTAACTAGACACAATATACACGTGTGTGTGTGTGTGTGTGTGTGTGTGTGTGTGTGTGTGTGTGTGTGTGTGTGTGTGTTGGTATCTCTCTAGAACCATATGGTAAGTGAGAAACAGAGAGAGAGAGAGAGAGTGCGAGAGGAAGAAAAAGAAAGAATTGCCCGTATGCAGGAATGCTATTCGCACTCCATGAACATCGATTTCCTTTTTGCCGTAAATCAGTTGCAATGCCGACCTTTAAATATGCTAATGAGCAGGCATACATGTCCACGGCTCGCATACACGTGCGTTTTCAGATCGATGTACATGTCCCCAGTTTTGTACCTGTCTCTTCGAGCGCATGTCTCCTGTTCCCAAGGGAAGAGGAACATATTACCACTGTTAAAATTACAGAAAATGTCAATCACTCTTAGACGAAATTGAAAGAAAGATAGAAAGCAACATAAATAAACATTGTTCTTTCTCTATCTCAGCCAATAAAGAAATAGATTTTTAAAAGTGGATACAATAAACCATGGAAACAGCCAATGCGTTGTCTGCAAGTCGATTTTGCTTTCTATTTGACCGAAGTGCCAGTTGCAGTTAAGATTAATCTGAGTTATTCCTGTGAAGACAACTGAAAATTCCATCTCGACTTGTGCATATTCAAAGAGATAGCCAGTCAAGATAATTCATTCTAATTCTTCTTTTCGCCGAACTTTCTGCCATGTATAAATCACAGAGAACTGTTATAAATGGGCTTTCAGCACAAAACTAATATCCTAATGTGTTGTTATTTCAATCCGTTCTTGTCTTCCAAAATGCAGCTGGCTACTTGCAACTTAAAACACAGAAATGCAAGACGAATAGCGAAAAGCAGGGTTGGAAAAGCAATTATTTGCGTTTCGTTCGTTTGCTTTTGTTTGGTTTGTTTTACGGCAATGGGGTTATTTAATGCCGACAAGATTTTTATTGCTGGTAATATTTTTTTTTTTCCAATATAATGTATTGCTGATAATCAATGCCATGCGATATACACGCTTAGACGATCATTTATCTTTCGATACATAACTGACGAGGCAGATTTTTTTCCCACATTATGTTGTCATTTTTTTCTACAGTGGACCAGTTGCCATCCAAGGTCTGTCCTTTCTATTTACCCATAACTGGTGGGGGGAAGAGGACACATACATTTCCCAAGAGTATTACCAAATAAGTAAATGCAATAGATGCGACTGGAATTCGAACTCGGCTCTCCGATTCCGCAAACCGAGCCGATACTCAATTACTCCATTACTCCATCGGTTGGTAATACTTTTTCAAAACTGTATTACTGGTAATAATTCTTTTATTTTTTTCAAAAATGTATTACTGGTAATAATTCTTTTTTTTCAAAACTGTATTACTGTTAATAATTCTTTTTTTTTTCAAAACTGTATTACTGTTAATAATTCTATTTTTTTTTCAAAAATATATTTCTAGTAATAATTCTTTTTTTTTCAAAAATGTATTGCAGGCAAAAATTCTTTTTTTTTTAAATGTATTACTGGCAATAATTCTTTTTTTCAAAATGTATTACTGGTAATAATGCTTTTTTTTCAAAAATGTATTACTGGTAATAATGCTTTTTTTTTTCAAAAATGTATTACTGGTAATAATTCTATTTTTTTTTCAAAAATATATTTCTGGTAATAATTCTTTTTTTTTCAAAATATATTACAGGCAAAAATTCTTTTTTTTAATGTATTACTGGTAATAATTCTTTTTTTTTTAAATGTATTACTGGTAATAATGCTTTTTTTTTCAAAAATGTATTACTGGTAATAATGCTTTTTTTTTCAAAAATGTATTACTGGTAATAATGCTTTTTTTTTTTCAAAAATGTATTACTGGTAATAATGCTTTTTTTTTCAAAAATGTATTACTGGTAATAATGCTTCTTTTTTTTTCAAAAATGTATTACTGGTAATAATGCTTTTTTTTTTTCAAAAATGTATTACTGGTAATAATGCTTTTTTTTAAAATGTATAACTGGTAATAATGCTTTTTTTTTTTTTCAAAAATGTATTACTGGTAATAATTCTTTTTTTTTTCAAAAATGTATTTCTGGTAATAATTTTTCCAAAAAAGTATTTCTGGTATTAAAACCTATTTTTATACTTTGAGGGGGTTAACTATTTGCTTATAACTGGGACCTTGACAAATGCTACCAACCCGAGTCAGGGTGGATCTGAGAACACCAGCAATTAAAAAGTTGTTACACGCTCCTCAAAACCTCCTGATCAGTGGCTTTGCTGTAGGGTGTAGTTTGTCGTCTTACCCAGGAAGCGGATGTAGTTTATCGTCTTACCCAGGACGCTTTTCCTTCGACGAAATAAAGACATGAGGCAGGTGGTTTAAAAGACAAGTGCTCGTATTAAGGAATCGCTTTCAAATTCCAATGGATTTCCTTACATTCACATACTTGGAAAAGATATGTTTACATGTCTTGTCCCCCATCTATGGGTAAATAACAGGACTGACGATGTCCTATATGGCATACGGTCACATAACGTTGAAAAACAGATTCTCGTATGATCACCAAAGTTAAGCAACGTTGAGCTTAGCCAGTACCTAGATGAGTGACCACTGGGGAATTCTAGATGTTGTAAACTTGGATGTGTGGAGGGTGTAATGGATAACGGCTCGGAATTTTTAATCGGAATGCCGAGTTCCAGTTCCAGTTGATTTGCAAATACTCTTGGGAAATCCACATCATCTCCCCCAACTATGGGTGAATTAGTAAGATTTGTATCACTAGAAAACGAATCAATCAACATTTTTTTCTCGCCAAAATCTATTTTACACGTTTATAAATCTACCATTCGTCTATGCATTGAATATTGCTGTCAAATTTGGTCTTGAGTATTTGCATACTTGAAAACAAATATAGACAAGCATCTGCAATATTATCCGTCCTCACCTGTCATCTCGGCTTCAGTTGCTTTCTCACCGCCGTAATTTAGCTTCCTGGTGGCCTTTCTATAAATATTTCCATGTTAATAGTTCTGATGAGCTTTTCTCTTTGGTACTTTGACGAATTTAAGCCCAATACTAGATCGTTAGTTATTCTCATCATTTTACAGCTTAAATTGCGATATGTAACCGTAAGTTCTTTGCGAACAGTTTCTTCCCTCGCACTTCTTGCTTGTGCAAATCTTTTCCGGCCTCTTGCTCTCCCGCCAAATGGGGTCATCACAAACGTAAATGCAATTTCAATCGTTATCCTATGTCATCTTAATTCTAATTCTTTTATTTTTTTCTCTCTCTTTAATAATGTTTCACTTTTTCCTTTCATTTTCTCATATTCTCTTATATTCAGTAACGCCTTACGTCTTAGTGACTTTATTGCGTTGCTAAGGGTGAAATGAGTTTTTAAAAAAATATGTCTAATCTATGCCATTGTCGAGAAGGACATCCCTGATGTATTTTTGGAGCCTCAGTTGTGTATGTTCAGGATCTTTATTTTCATTGCAATACCTAACGTTTTAAATTTTGGTCCACTGGGTTTAGTTATGGAGTTATAATTTATAGTTTAGTTATACTTTATCTAAAGTGCTCACTCACCCACGCTTATCTTTACCAATTACTGTGGTATACAATTGTCAGGACTTTTGTCAAAGTGCGTAGTAGAGGAACAGAATGCATGGAAAGGTAGATTAAACTTTTTTTTCAAAAGCGTGTAGCCCGAATTTGATCTCTGTTATCCAGTACTATTTGGCCGGCTGTAAGCGTTATCTAACACTATAACTCCTGCATGAACAAAATATTGAATTGAGGTTGAGTTGTACTTAAATTATTATTAATAAATGAAGATGATTTATTTATTTATTTTTTTTTTTTTACTTTTCTGTAATGATCTGTTGTCGCTTATAGGCAGCTCTTCGATACATTTTGAGTAAAATTGCCCAGATTTTGAGTGAAAAGTATTCCTACAAATTCTTGAATGTGATTTTCATTAGATAATTTTTTGCTACACTATTTACATTATTCGGACTATTGTCCTTATCTTTGTCGCCATATTTATTACAACGTTTCGGCTGTTGTACGCTCCGGCCTTCTTCAGGTGGTTGGAATGTCGAACTGAACCCTTTATTTTGCTTACTGGGGTAGACTGTTCTAGTTCCACGTGCCATGTCTAATGGATGTCAGTTATCAGTTATCTCCTATTAATTCCCCTCTCCAAGTTCTCCACTGCCTTAACCGGGTATTGAACTCACACTTTTCGGGGTCCTGTCAACTGGATCTAACCAAAACCTTTATCCACTGTGCTATGTGTCCTCAAGGACAGTCTACCCCAGTGAGTGAAATAAATGGTTCAGTTCGACATTCCAACCACCTGAAGAAGGCTGGAGCGTACAACGACCGAAACGTTGTAATAAATATGGCGACAAAGATGAGGACAATAGTCCGAATAATGTAAATAATGTACATAATACCTCATCTCAGAAATATAGACAGATACTAATTTTTTGCTACCAAACATTGGAAAAAGTTAATAATCGTTTTCTGCAAGGTTATGTAAATATCGGTGATAGGGTTGAACAGACCAACCTACTTCCATTATTTTTTTATATTGTCCTTACGTTGTCTTGAAGGAAACCTTTTTTTCCTATTGACGACCGCAGAGTGTTTGTCAACTAAATTTATGAACACGTTGTAACTAGTGGACGTATTAATATGAAGTTAGTGTTTCATTGCGTTTTAAGAACTTCAGATGAATAATTCTCAAACGATCCAACCAAAACGCAAATTTCAACTCATTTTTAAGTACTTTGGGAAGATATATCTTTCTCATTCCACTCCACTATGCGTTGAACAGTTTTGTATATAACCAGTGGTGATATCCTACCGGTTCGCGTTAACCGATTCTTAAAATTATAAAAGCTTAGCCAACCGGTTGTTGGATTATCCGAAAATAACCTTATATATTAATAGCCGATGGTCTATGAAAAATGTTAATTACGCTACGCCCGTGCGCGTATCTGGTAAAGCCCTAATAGACACACGCCTCCTGTTTTGAAGTTAAAAATGTGGCAAATCTTCTAGTCATAAATTTGATGGGTCTTGTATTGGATCTTTGGGGCTGCAGCAATTTCGAATGTGGCTAAGAAACCGTAACACAGCTGATGACACTAGTGTTAAAAATCATCATCGTTTTGAACAGAAAAGAATTTCAGTCTAGAAATATCTTAATAAATAAATGTGTTCTATTAAAGTAAGAAAATGGTTTAATTCTTTTCGATGCTATATAAAGTGAGAGGAGTCACGGTGGAGTAATGGATAGCGGCTTGGATTGAGGAATCGGAGAGCCGAGTTCGAATCCATTACATTCACTTACGGGCTAATGTCCTTGGGAAAGGTGTGAATCCTCTTCTTCTCCCTCCAGCTATGGGTAAATAGCAGGAAAGACTGGGTTCTATAGCCTTGGATGGCAACTGGTCTAGGAGAAGAACAACTCTGAATACAAACCCGGAGTGGAGCCCCTAAGCGGATGGACGGCACTTTGTGCTACCTTCCGGCAACTCCTGCAGCCGCGCTGGTACCAAACTGTATTGGTTTATCCTCTCCTTTAGACTCTGCTAGCAAGGCCGAGAGTGGGGGAACTAGACGGCTGGGCAGCCCTAGTTCTCCATATATCCCGCCCAGGCTCATAGCGCACCACGCTACTCGAGACGAACGGATGCCGACGACGACGATAAAGTGATTTGTGTCCATTCCCAGACTGAGAAGAAAATAAGCAGAATAGGTTCCTAAAGAAAATTATCTGCTTTTAGAGAAGCGGTTCCTGGAAATTTAAGGTATCATTGTATATAACTGATTGTCCATCACTATTGTTAAGGAACTGATAATGAGTACGATACATTCGTCATCATAATGGGTTGCTAAATACGGGCATATGACTCAACTTAATAAAACAGAGTAGGAAATGTTTTTTGTTACTTTCAAGAACCTCTGACACCCACACCTTGAAGCGCCTATTGGAACAGTATTCTCCTTAAATAAAAGAATAAAGATATTTTACAGGTGGCAAAGCCTGACAGTCGACGATAACATGTGCTATTTCTGTATTCGTTTTTATGTGCTAAGCCCTTTCAAGGCGTCAGTGATAATGGCTTTTAACAACATCCTGTGTTTTGTTCGTCTAATATTTTTTTATTATTTCAGCCATCGCTCTTTGCCTCTATTCTGTCATCCATTTAAGCGAAATCGTTAAATAGGTTTCTCACTTTTTACGCTCTGGACTTAAATAAGCCTAAGGGTGTTAAATTCTCTCGTTACTTTATGCTCATTATTTCCTAGAAATCTAAATTGTCCCTCTCGGGTTGTAACTAGAAATTTCCTTGTTCCTGTTTTCGTTAAAACGTCAACTTAATCATATATTCTCTCCCATGGATGTCATAGAATTTGTCTTTAGAACCATAGCTCTATTGCTTCGTACCTTTCCTTCTTGTGTGAAGAAATTGCCCAGGTCTTGTAGCCATATAGAAGATTAGATACCTCACAGCGTTTCAGCATTCTTTTCTGTTTTGACAATATTTTCTCATGTCTTAATACTTTGCTTAGTTTCTGGAAGGCCTCTTTCGCTATTCCGATGCACTGCCACGTTAATATACTAAACAGATATCTAAATTCCCTGCTCAATTTTGACGTTCTCAGTTTGTAGCTCAAAACTTGTGCTGTTGTATTTGCTGAGGTCCATGGTTTTGGGATTTGTAAAGTTAGTAGTTGTAGCCGTCACGCCAAAAAGAATCCGCTGGAACAGGGCAGTCGTCTCTCGTCGTCCTCGTCATCTCCCTCGGCCCCCACTGCCAAAGCCTTCAGCCACACTCATTTTATAGACCATGACGAAGCAGCCGATTGGTTGAGTGGGACACTTTTACATATGCGTAGGCGCACTCCGACAATTCCCCCTTCTTCCAAATGCTCTGCGACACCATACGCATGCAAGGCCTGGACATTTTCGGGCATGATGTCGCCTATCTTGCTCACGACAATCACAGTAGTTTGACCTTTCTTCTTGCTTTCTATTAATATACAGGGTGTTTCAAAAAATTTGATATCCTTTGAGATGTAAATACCACAGAAAGTACATGATTAAGGCAAATGAAATTAAAAAGTATTAATGTTGAAGATCATAAGATTTATTCTTCCAAATCTGAATGAGAAATTCAAAATCATGTGGATTATGTGAACGATTTCACAAATGTGAAGTTTGTGGTCGTCCGGATCCTTTTGCTCTGCACAGACAGCCTTCCTCTTTGAACTTTTTATGCCATCTCCAAATCTGCATTCCTGTTGGTGACTTTCTAGAGAACTCTCTCATAAATGCACGCTGCACAGTCTTGTTTGACTGTGTTCTAGCAAATTCCAACACACAAAACGCCTTTTCTCTTCTAGTAAATAGCATTTTTATACATGTAAAGAAAAAGATTAAAGATTAAAGAACATAAAAATACAAATAAGAAAAACACAAAAACATAAAGACATAAAAACATAAAACCAACATTAAACATAAAGATTCTATTAAAATTTGAAGTCATTTGAAGATCTAACAAAGTTATTAGATTGCGAAATCATATCAAATTTTTTGAAACACCCTGTATTATCT